CAAAGCTCTAACAAGATTCTGGAGGCTTCTACAATAACCATGAACATATAATTGCCATCTGCAGAGATAACCGAGGGGCAGCAATGCTGTGCCTGGGAATCACTTTTCTCTCTCCTCACCTTCTCTGTTTACCAGGGACCATAGTCTCTATATCTGAATTAAATGTATGTGTTAAACGAGATGAACATGTTTCTTTGCCTTATATCTTCTATTTCTATAAGATAAACTGTGGGTCTTGCTGTGCCTCAGCCCATAGTACCTTCTGCATTTCCAGATAAAATTGTTGACAATTTACCATTTCAAGCAACACCCTGCAAAAAGTATTATTCCCCCACGAATTTGTTAAATTTATTCTAATTTTATTCTCCCCCTTTCTCTCCCTCCTACTCCACCTCTTCATAGCCAAATGCCACTAGAAAAGAAGCACATCTGGACTGATCTGGAATGTAAAATGCTCCAGTCTTTGTTATCTAGAAAATCTTCCTTAAAGAGAATGTTTTTAAAGTTTTTAGTTCAAAGCAGAAAAGATCTCATGTGCTAACACCAGCTTCTCACATGAAAGAGGGTGATTCAAAAAACAGAGGAAGACATAAAGAATAAATTCCTAAGGAAGGCAAGCTGTGTGACTGCACAGCCTGAAGAAACGGAATCCCATCACGAAGTTGTATTTCACCATTCAATGGATGGAACCGATGATTCACAAAGCTTCCTGTTTAAGTCTCGCATACCCCATAGAACATGAATTGGAGTTTTAAAGGGGGGGGGGGGACAGCATTTCTCAAGGGAAGACTCCAGTAGGTTCCCACACAGCGAGAAGCCAGGGATGCTCTGCAAGCCAGCCTGGGTGCTGTAAGCAGTCCTCGTCTTCTTATGGGAACCACAGTCTTAATAGCTAAAGATGGGATGCTGTGCCTTCCCTACATTCTGCTCTTACAGGGAAACAGAAAGGAAAACCATGTAGATATCATCAAATTCATTATTTAAAAAGAGAATTAAAATATTTAGCCAAGTCTCAGACAAGCCCATGAAGAGCTATGGTCTAGTAGGAAACATGCTGAGCAAAACGGCAGCCTCTATCTAATGTGCTATGCATTTTTCTCACTTTGGACCACATCTTTTAAGGACTTTCATAAATGCATTAAATCATCTTCCACATTAATAGAAACAGCTGCCCCTCAGATTTTTCTAAAATCCTATCTTCTGTTTTAGATGGAATGCCAAATGTATAAGATGCAGATTTTTTAAGAATTTGTTTTACACAAGAGTATCAAGATGATCACTCTCCCTGACAAGGATACATAAATGCAGCTTTTTCCCACTACTGCTGACTCGCATCCCCCTCCCCCCCCTCCGCTCCCCATAGTGGCCATCCCTTTTCAGGGGCTCGCAAACCAGAAAGCCAAAGTCGTCTGTGCCCCAATGAGAACGCAGCAAAACCACAGCAAACGAGGGGAAAAAAACCCTTACCTGAGGAAGAACTCAACTGCTCAGAGCTTCTTCCCAGCTCGCCTCTCATAGGACTGGGCAGCGCAGGGTGTGTGGATGCGGGCTCCTCCCGGAGGCAGGCGGGGCGCGCGCTCCCTTTCGCTGCCGTGACGATGCTGTCAGCCGCTCGCCCGCCCGCGCCTGCTCGCCAGCCCTTGCGCCCCGCGCCCCAGCACACCTGTGACCCGGTGCGCTTCACGCTCTTGGAGCCCCCGCGCGCCCTGCGCCGCCCGCGCACCTGCGTCCGAGTGCGCCCCACGCCCCCCGAGCCCCGGCACACCTGCGCCCCCCGCGCACCTGGACCTCCCTGCCCGCGCGGACCTGGAGTGGTCACAGCCTTCCCACGGTCTTGCGGCCTTCCTCCTCTTCTTTTCCTCTTCGATCTCTGACTTCTGTGCTGTGCTAAATGCCTGCTGCAGTGGTGGCTGCTCTCGCTTAAATGGCGCCTGCTTGCCTCCAAAGAGCTTTTAGGTGCCACCTACTGCATGGTTCTGGAATAGATGGTCAGGACTGGAATTTTCTGAGATTTCAATGAATTAAAATAATTTCTTTGAAAGTGTACCAGATTCTTTTGTTTTAGATTGTTCACATTACCAACTAAAATTATTACTAACCATAAGCCTTTCTTTTCGGTGTCCCGATACTAAATCAAAAACCTATTCATTTAGAAGGCAGACGAAATGGGGCCATGCTCGATAACCAACCAACAGTTCAGATTAATGCATTCTAATTTGATAGACTCCTATGACAAATTCATCATAGGCAATCTGGGACTAGAATCGCCTTTTCACTGGGTAGTTTCACATTAGCGTTTCAAGAATATAACCAGATTTATTTTCTGACACTGATAAACACTTGTCAGAAAGAAGTATTGATCAAAAACATGTGAGTCAGCACGAAATAAGATTTATGGCTAACAATTCTGTGCCGACATTTTAAAAATGCTTGCTTCTTTCAGTGATCCATAAATTTAAACTACTGGTTTGAGGAAGATTTCTTCCCCCTATTATAACTCAATCTTTTTAAAATTTATTTAAATTAGTTTTTTTAATACTATCAACTTTTCTAAGAGTTGAGCAATATTAATATTTTCTTGACTTTAAATTTCATTTAGCTGTTAGAATCCCATTTACCTGTTCTAAAACTGTTTTTGAATTTTTGTATAATTTCAAACAGCATAATCCTTTGATGTTAATTTCCAAAGTAAATATCTACCCCGTTATTCAGAGGAAATGTACGTTTTTAAAATCTTACTTAAGGATTATAATTATAATAAAGAAAATTAATTTTGCTCATTAGTCAATCCTAATTCTAACCTTGAAGCTATGGCCATTGGAATATGAAAATAATATACCATTTTTGTCAGTCATCTAAGGCTACCATCAGCAAATCTACCTCTAATTTATAGATGCCGGGAAGCAGGGTAGTCACTCCATCTCAGATCTCCTCTTCAAGAGAATGGATGGCTATTAGGAAAACTGCCCCAGAGGGTCTAGATTCATCAAGGTTCTGGGCACTGCCTGCTGCCATTTCGGAATCTGAAAGGACCATTCAGACTAACAAATTAGGAGATGTTTACCATGACAACCCAAAATGCAGGTTATCAGGTTAAAAGATAAAATGGAGGTTGTGGTCTAAACAAAGAAGAGTGAAAAGATTTAAAGAGCTAAAATTATTGAAGGCAAAAAGCCAGTTCTAGCCCAGATCTGGGTGGGAGAAAGGACCTGGAGGTGGTGAAGGGCAAATTCCACATTGCAAAAGAATCTTGCCTTTTTCCACATTTAATTGCTATTTGTTCTGAGAAAGTGAAGTACAGGCCCCAAAGGCCCTGCTTAAACAGGAGCAATACATTTAAAATGATATCTCTGATCTATTTATTTGTCACTCTCTCACAAGCCCTGGCTTTTCGTCAGCCAGAAGTTGCAGATTGCTTCCAGAACTTCAGTCTAAGAATTGGATTTAAGAAGATCTCTGGGAGATGTCTAGGCCTGTAGGTGAGAAGCTCTAGGTCAGTGTCTCTTAAAATCTAGCGTGCATCAGAATCACCTGGAGGGCTTGTTAAACTCACCCGGCTGGGCCACACCACAGATTTTCTGATTCAGCACAGCTGAGGCTGGATCCCAAAATGTGTTAATTCCAACAAATTTCCTGGTCAGGCTGAGGCTGCTTGGTTCAGGGACCCATTGAACTCTGCCACCTAGACAGTACAGAAACTAATAAGCAGTGGTAATGTACTCAGGGAAGAAAAATATGACATTCCTCTGTTTTCTAAAGCAAATTAAAATTATCTAAGCCAATCTGGTGCCCTTCATTTTGAGGAACTCTTGTCCTCATAGACTCACAATGTGCTCATGGTCTTTTGGAGGACCATAAACAGAGCCACTTCAGCTGCATTCTCACTTTGCTTTTATAAACTAGGATTCTGCAAGCTTACACTTGGCCTCTATGCAAATTAGAAAATGGACCACTCTCTGGGTGGACACATTCACTCTCCTCCCTCTCCCTCAAGAAGGGACAGAGGACTCTTTGTGCGAAGAACTTTCCTGGGGCAGGTGCAGCCCACTCCAGGTTCCTGAGTGAATGGGGCATCTGCTAAACCCCAGACCTGCTCTCACCCTCTGCTGGTCACCTTTGTACATTATACATCTGCACAACTAAATACATCAATGCTGCTCCTCCCGCAGGCCAACATGGTCCATGTGAGAGCTAGCAGCTCCATTTGGGACGTGCATCCACAGGTCCACAGAGTGCCAGCCTCCATCAAGGGAGAGGCAGAGGCAACTAATTTGGGGGGCAGGAGCTGAAGGATAAGGGCAGGATATTCCCTAGCTAGCTGTTGAGCAAGCAGACATGTAATTAAAAACACACACACAACACACACACACACACACTTCTGGACTGTGTTCCTTATATCTCAGGTTCTTTCTTGGCTCTCTACTGTGTCTTTCTGTTCTTGGGGATTTGGGTCAATCAAATGTGTGTGTAAAAAAGCAAACACAAGGGTGCATCCACAGGTCCACAGAGTGCCAGCCTCCATCAAGGGAGAGGCAGAGGCAACTAATTTGGGGGGCAGGAGCTGAAGGATAAGGGCAGGATATTCCCTAGCTAGCTGTTGAGCAAGCAGACATGTAATTAAAAACACACACACACACACACACACACACACACTTCTGGACTGTGTTCCTTATGTCTCATTATATCTCATTGTCTCTCCTGTGTTCTCTAAGACAGTGGTTTTGGGCACCAGCAGTTTCAGCATTACCCAGAAAGTTATTAGAAATGCAAATTTCAGCCCCACCCTGGACTTACTGAATTAGAAACTCAAGGCGAGACACAGTAATCTATGTTTTAGCAAACAATCTAGGTGTTGCTAATGATGCATTGAAACCCAGTGCACTAAAGTTTGATCTTTTAAATATATGTATATAAAGTTTGATCTTTTAAATATATGTATATATATTTTATTTTTTGGTTGTCCATGGTTTATTGAAAATATTATAGGACAGCAGAAGGATTCAAATGGCTCTGTGTAATGTTTTGAAATTCATCCCAACCTTGATTTGAAGATGGGACAGACTACCAGAGTCCAAGAGCGTCAGCATTTCCTTAGCGTCAGGATCAACTTCAGTGATCTCCTGATCTAGGTCTAAGACTTCAGGAACATAATGATCTCTCCTTTCTCTCTCCTCTTCTTGCAGCATAATAGAAATAACTCTCTCAGGGTCTCTCTGAATCTGCTTAATCAGATGTGTGACATAGCCCGCTATCTTGTTGCAGGGTTTCATGCTGGGGATTATGGCGATCTTCTTGCATACACACTTGTTGGTGTGGAAATCATTGCCTAGGCATGTATAGTACTCTTCGATGATGACATGGGCCACCTTCTTCATGGTGTTGCTACAAACGCAAGCCATCTTTGCGGGTACCCGATGAAAGAACTTAAACATATTTTTAACAAATGACATATCAACATATCACCTTAAAAATTAGTGAAAGGGTACCATCTTAATAGAATGTGCTTAAAGGAGCAGTGAACCTCACTCACCTCCAGATATTTCTGGTTCTGTACCTTGGTACTTTTCTACGCTATTCCTTCTAACATTTTTCCATATAAGATTAGGGTGCAGGACTCCAGTGCCCAGAGGACAACCTATTTTCCAGCAATCTTGTCAGCAGTAGAATGTTCACCTCCAGGGCTGGCAATAACCTTCTTCTTCCTGCCTTTATCTTCTCCACCATGGAGTCACTCCAACCTAATACCCGGGTGGGCTAGACTCTCCAAATTAAGATCTTGACCCTGTAATTCAAGAAGCTTTTCACATCTACTTGGAGAAAAGAAAACTCAGAGCCCAAGAACATAAAGGCTTCTCGTAAAATAGAAAAAGAAAATGGAATTTTTCTTTGGTTATTGTCCATGTGTTCACTGACCCCAAAATAAGAACTCTGAAGTTGGGTTGGCCTGTCAGAGATGTCCCACATGGAGAGCCACCCCTTAACTAGCCATTGCATGTGTGCTGTCTCCCCAGGCTTCTTGAGGGCAATTCCCAGGGAGAGAGTCAGCTGAGAGTTTTCAGCAGCAACATTCCAACCACTGAGGCAAAGAGGCTACAGTCTCAAGTGAGCGGTTGGTGTGGTAGTGTGCTGCAGTACCCACTTCAGTAGCCAAGGACAATTTGTAGAGAATGGCATCAATTGGTCATGAATGAAGTATTTCAGAGGCAGGTCTTTTGCAAAGAATAAGGGTTATATGTTATTCCATTGGTTTTGATCCTGATTCTGTATTTGTAATCATCTTTTCAGATCTATCCAACTGTATTTTGTGCTTTGAAGTCTAAGAAGGTTTTGCCTCTCTTCTTCCTCCCCTTCTTCGATACCATGTGCACCCCAATAAGGATGGGGCAGCATGCTTTCTATCTGTTTTTAATCTTTTCAGCTTATCCAGGCTACACAGATGCTAAAGCTGACATCTGTTTTCTGTAATCTCAGAGTTTCTCATCCCTGCCTTATCTAAGGTTGACCTAGTTCTCTTGCTCTACTAAAATATTAATAAACACAGACAGGTGCTTATATTCATGAAACACAACTTTGTGTGCTCTTACAGCTCTGCATATCCCTGGATCCAGCGTATCAGACCCCATCTTCACTTCTTCCCCAAACCCCCACTGTATCCTGGAGAACACCTGTACCTTATTCATCAAGTTTCTCTAAATCTCAAACTGCTTTGTAGAAGACTTGCCAGCCTTTTGCCCTAACTAAAACTGACTCTTCTGCAGTGCTCTCTTTTCCTGCGGCATCTTAAGCAGAAACTGCTTTTCTTCTCATACCCATTACCTCCTTGATCTCAATGCATTGTCTCTTCTGAGCCTTAACTTCTCCTCTGGCTGCAAAATCTTGCCTTCTTTTAGATTTGACCACCTTCTTTCCTTTGTCTTGCCATCCTTTGGGTCATTTGCCTTCTGCCATCCTTGGGTCTGGTGGGCTTTCTCTCCACCCAGATACAGTGCGACCTGAACTATTCGCCTCACTTTTTGCTCTCTTATTTCCATGGTCTCCTTCTCCCGAGAGACTTTTTTCCTCTACCACATTTCATCCATCCCCACTGATGACCACATCCTGCTGCTTGCAATCATGACAAATTGCAGGACAAGAGGATATCAATTTCAAACAACCCTTTTTCCAGCCTTTCACACAACCACATATTCTCCTTAGCAAGCCAGTTTCTCCCTTGTGCTCAGAATCACCTTCCTTCTAAGCATCTGTCTCTTCCACATCATCATTTCTCCCAGGTCTATCTGCATAACATGTAGCAGAAACAGGTTTTCTATTCTTCTCACTCTTGTCCTCTCTGAAGAATAAAAAAATTGAAGGTATCATTTTCTAAGCAATCTCCCCGTTTATGATTCCAGTCTATTCCCCCAAGTAGCCAGGAAGACCGGAGCAGGGACGCCCTGGAGTAACATCCCAGAGCTTTTAGAATCCTGCCCAAGCTTTATGTTGGCTTGCAAGGCTCTCATAATCTGGCAGCTTGCTATGTTTCCAATTTTATTTCATGTCTTCTTCCCTCTGCTCACAGGAACCAGCCAAACTGGCCTTTCAATTTCCTAAATGCAGCAAGGTCTTTTTTCCACCAAGTCTGTCATCAGTTCTGTGAGCTCATCTGGCCATTGCTATTCCACTGTATTCTTTACCTCAGATCTACTTCTAAATGCATTGTCCACAGGTAGACCTTCCTTTATCGCCCAGCTTAAAGTTGTATTACCTCCTGCTATGGATTGAATTGTGTCCTCCCAAAAAAGATACGTGATGTACTAATCCCCAGTAACTCATAAATGTGACCTTATTTGAAAGTAGGGTTATTGCACAAATAATTGGTTAAGATGAAGTCATACTGGAGTAGAGTGGGCCTTTACTTTAATGTTACTGGTGTCTCTCTAGGAAGAGGAGAACGATCCATGGGAGAAGCCAGCTTAGTGGTGATGAAGGCAGAGATTAGAGTGACACATCTCTAAGTCAAGGAATGCCAAGGATTACCAGCAAACACCAAAAGCTAAAAGAGATAAGAAAGAATCCTTTCTAAGCTTTCAGAGAGAGTCTAGCCCTGACAACAGCTTGAGGCCTCCAGAACAATAAATTCTAGCCTCCAGAATTCCAGATTCACTACTCTGAGACAACAGATTTCTGTTTCTTTAAGCCCCCAAGTCTGTGATATTTTGTGATGGCAACCCTAGAAAACCTCTCATCACCCAGCACTTAGATTCTGCTTCCTTTAGTATAGGCCACAATTAGTCTCCATTTCCTGTTTGTTTATTAGTCATATAGTTGTCATGAGTTTTGTTGTGAAAATTTCTCCCTTTTATTGCTTTCTGATTATTTGTGGAATCTCAATACCTTGCAGGACCATGGATCCCAGTTTGGAAACCCCTGCTGTGTGTCCCGAGAGGGACCCACAGAGGTGGATTCCACTTTGCTGGCGCAGACTCTGAGGAATCAGCAGCACTTGTGGGAGCCAAATGTGTGCTTTGGTTCCCGTATCTGAGGGACACGCATCCATTTGTCTTGAACTATAATTTTCTAAGATCAGACAGTTTTATATTTAAACCTGACTCTTGCAAGCTTATGCAAATCATTTTAGAAGGACACTTGGCAGAGAGCCATTCCAAAAGGCAGTCTACAGGGATTATAGTGAGGGCAGAGCAGACAAAGAACTTCCAGAAAACACATGAGATTAGCTGTTAAATTTTCTGTATGTTTGTATTCGTACACCTTGGCAATTGCACCTATTTTACTCAGGTGAGACTGTCACATATAAAATTCTTTTCTTCTTTTCTATTTTTTCCAAATTATTATTTTTCTGTCTTTTTTTTTCCTGTTTGTAAACTCATTTTAATCTCTTCCTTTCTTAGAAGCATTTTGGTTTTTTGCTTTTTAAGGTTTATTCTGTAGTTTTTTAACCCCATCATCTCTACTTTAAGAGAGGTATACTTCCAATTCTACCATTCTGTATAACTTTAAAAATATACATGATGATAATTAATATCATGAGATTTAATGCCATATAAAATATGGCTTATAATAAGCAGCTGTATTAAAAATAGTGAGCATCAAGAAAATAACAGGAGGAGAATATGCAAAATTGATGCTCTGTCTTTTGTTTTCCGTGGTTTTACTCTGTCAACATAACCATGAAAAATTCTAACTTGACCCAATATAGCAAAAAATAGAGAAAGAAATCTTCAGTTCACTAGTCATTTTTGCTGCAATAACTGAGTTCGAGCTTCCATTAACACAGGAATAACAGAACAAAGGAATGATAAATGACTCTTACTGCAGAGTGTGCTCTTTCAAAAGGATGGTCTCCACAAGTCTCTCAATCTTGCATGCAGGAGAGGTTTCTAAAGAACAAAGAAGTGATACAGAATGCCAGAAGACATTTATTTAAATGTCACTTATACACTGGATATTGAGAACTGAAGGAGTTCCATTTGAGATAATAAACCACTTTTTGTGAGAAAAGATGAAGTAATTAATTATTCAAGGGCGATAACGTCTTCAACTTCATTTTCACACACTGCATTTACCCTTAGCTTTTCAAATAAAAAACAGGCTGCACACTACATTCACAAGTACCTTCTTAAACAAGAAACTAGCCTGTAGTTCAAATCAGAATCTCTGAATCTGAGTGTCAGTGATTCTCAATGGGCTTTTCTGGCACAAGGATTACATCAGGACAAAGCAAGGCCCCTGTTCTCCCACTATTAGGATGGTGGTAGCTGCGCAGACTTTGTTTCCACCAAGTTTGGCCAGATGACCAACAACAAACAGAGGTAGACTCCTCACATTCAGAAGGGGAAGCTTTTCGCCAGAGGGATCACAAGCTTGCTTTCAAATATTCTCCTTAGGAAAATGTTGCTGGAGGAGGATTCTTGGAATTTAACTTCGTAATCATTCACCTTTACTCTTGCAGTATCCTCCCAGGTTTGTTGGGATCCAGGGAAAAGGAGTCATAAGTATTTGGAGAAGTCTTGTAGTATAGTAAGAATACTATACTGCTGAACTTTTAAAAGCAAATGACAACTTTGCCAGTTGGACTTGCCATTTACCTTCTCTAGAGCTAAATTTCCTGGAGTTATAATAGATGATTTCTATGTTCTCTTTTAGTTCCAAATTTAAGGGTTTTGCATAGCGTAAAATATAAGACTTCCTTTCAGTTCAAAATGACAAAATAAGATGCATCTGCCTATACATTTTTTCAGAAATCTTACTGTATTAAGAGTTCTCCAGAACTAGAACCAATAAGATATATGTGTGTGCATGTATATGTGTGTTAATTACAGTCATATGCCACATAATGACATTTCAGTTGATGACAGAATGTGTATACTACAGTGGTCATGTAACGTTATAATGGAGCTGA